GTCTGAGCAAAAAAGCGGTTACAATGTATCCAAGCCAAACAAAAATGAATCTCGGATAGGAAAATCTATATCCCCATATTTCCTGGAAATAACAAAATTAAAAAAATACAGCTATGGAGCCATCTCCTTCTTTAATATAATATCTTTCAGTCTTTCTACACTCATTCCTGCAATGCATCATAAACCAAAGTAGGTGGCCTAAGGTCAGCGAGTGGAAAGCGTGGGAGGATAAGAAGGGAGGACGAGGATTAGACAAGTGACGTTTTTTATTCCCTTTCCCTATAGTTAATGCCATTTAATTTAGCTCAAAAATGCAATATTTTTATATTAAATTTTACAATTAACTTATTTTATATTCTAAAAATAGCAATTATACTTCAATAATATGACATTTCTTTAAATTACACGACTCTTTAGGAATCTGTGCGCGCTGTTTAAATTGGCTTACTTATGGTTTAATTCCATACATAGATTCATTTCCTTTACTCCTCTCAATAAGCGCTGATTTATTTTTTCTAAAGATTCATTAAATTAAAATGCAAACTCAGCGTGATGGTACTTTGCCTCCTGCCGTGACTCCATCCTCCCGATTTATTGAATCCGGCTTTGGGCCTGGAATTTGGCCTTTAAGAGAGAGACTTGCTTTGGCAACATCTTTGCGGGATTCTAATAATCAGCAGCTCACTTGGCATGCGGTTAGTAGACGTCTTCTTGAGTTCACTCCCTTGGGAAGACCACCCACCTGGTGCTCCTCCCGTGCTTGTGCTAAACAGTACGCCCTTTTGTTGGATTCCGCTGGTATGACTCATTTACTTGGCACAAATTATTCAAATGACTCTCCTTAAATGTCTCCTTTTTAGAGATGATAAGGAAAGAAAAACAAATGGAGACTTATATCGCTGAGCGTAGAATAGCGGCTGGCGGGTTTGTCAATGCAAATGATGCTTACATGCCTAAGCCCATATGGAATTCATCAAGCTTAGATGACTATATAATTAAGCGTCTTACTTCTGAACGTGTTGAAGAGTTACGGTCTTCAATTAAACGAGTGAAAGTGGAACACGAGTAGGCCACTAACTTATTTTGTTCCTCCATTTTATACCAAAAATTGATTTTGCGTTATTTCAGATCACTGAAGAAGAAATTAGAAGCGTTGAGGTCAAGATGTTATAGTGATGAAGAGATTTTAGAGCTGTGGAATCGAATACAAAGAATTGATGATGACGAGCCTCCAAATGATATTTTTTCTTCACCAGATCCCTCGGTCAAAGTCCCAGAAGAGAGTAGCTCACGAAATTCTGAAATTGATCGATTCATTTACGAAATTAAAAGTCTTTCGACAAGTTCCAGGATCCCAGAAACGACCTGGGCCTTTTCCAATTGCTCCTTAGCATCTGTGAATGGCAGGAGCTCTTCTAATTCCTTAAATCCGTTATCCACTCTTGAAGGATCCAGAAATCGTCAAACTCAACACTCAAAACAAAAAGGACAAAGATCTTCTTTAATAGGTCACTCAAAGTCTCTGCCACATCATTATCAGCAGCTGCATGGAGTTTCCGCCACAACAGTGGCTAATAATCTCTTGATGCAAGCAAAACGTCGTTGTCAGCAACACCAGCATAAAAAATCCAATTCCCAAGATGTAATGGCATCTAGTCCCGCTTCTTCAATCTCAGTAGATCACCCAAGAGTTGCCGCAGCTGCTGCCAAAGCTGCAGATGCCGCTCGCCGCCGATATCTTGCAGCCGCTGCCTATCGTCTTGCTAGTCGCTTTCCGAGGCGTCGAGGTCGGCCTAGTAAGAAGGAGATGCTAGGAAAGCAGCGTGCTGAGAGGGCTTATTATAAAGAGGCTGAAGAAGAAGCAAAAAAGGCTGCCGCACTCGCTGCCAGCGCTGCTATCGGTAAAATCTTCCGTTATTTTCTTTTTTATTACACATCTCATTTAACTTAGTTGTATAGTTTATTATTTTTTGGATAACCTAAATTATCCCTCTTCATGGGCCCTAGTTTTTGACTTCGCGAGAACTATTTAGAAAACCTCCATACTTGACTATGTATTAAGCAAAGTAATGTCCACACCTTGATTTTCCCTTATATACATTTAGTTAATCTTATAAAGTAAAATAATTAGATTCTTTATTGTCACTAGTTTAAGGCTATTTTCGCATGTTCTCGCTTTT